CAGGGGGGAGCTCCCCAACCCCCTGATGGGCCCTGCTCTGCGCATGACAGGGGGCAGCTCCCCAACCCCCTGATGGGCCCTGCTCTGTGCATGACGGTACGGAGCACCTACCCCCCTGATGTGCCCTGCTGTGTGCATGACGGGGCAGTGTCCCAACCCCCTGATTGGCCCTGCTCTGTGCATGACGGGGTGGCGCCACAACCTCCCCATCGACCCTGCCTTGAGTGTGACAGGGGGTGGTGCCCCAACCCCCCAATCAGCCCTACCCTGAGCGTGACTGAGGGTGGCATCGCAACCTCCCAATTCGTCCTGCTCTGTGCATGACAGGGGGCGGCGCCCCAACTCCCCAATTGGCCCTGCTCTGAGCCTGACCAGGGGCTGCACCTAGGGATTGGGCCTGCCCTCTACCACCTGGGAACAGGCCTAAGCCAGCAGGATGTTATCTCCCGAGGGGTCCCAGACTGTTAGAGGGCAAAGGCCTGGCTGAGGGACCCCCCGCCCCCAGTGCACAAATTTTTGTACACCAGGCCTCTAGTTTCTTTATAGAAGGCTACAAGGAAGCAAACACGAGGCCATTTGACAAAGGGCTTATCATAGTTCAGGGCTGCTGTCACCGCTGCCTGCTCATTCTCTACCTGGGGAACAGGGCAAAATGCCTAATAGACATGCAAGTGAAAAATGCTTCGAGACTGTGTAACATACTAATCTTTGGAATACTATGTTAATAAGCAAACAGATCAAAATGCTTAATCAACTTCTCAGCTAAGTTTAACTGCTTTTCGTACAACCTAGACTAAATGTTAGGAGCAGTGACTGCTAACTAGAGATCAAGAATAAATTGCTAAATTTAAATTAGAACTTTGAAAGCTTCCCACTTTTTTAAAATAAAGCCTAATGAAAATCTAAAATGGTTCTTCAACAAATGTATGTACTTAACAAGAACTTGGGCTATGTTGATAAGAGAAGTTATACGGTGCTAGGGCCCCACTTGTCAAAACTCACCTGGTATTCTCTTTAGTCAGAATGTCTCCACTGTCTGGGGAGAGAGCAAAGTTGAACTGAGTAGCCAACCATGGGCTTTGGGCTCCACTGACATAGTACAGAACTCTACTGGTAGTTGGGGAAGCTCTGCAGCGGACGTGCAGTAACCAGTGATTCTAAATTGCAGATCCTGTAATGAATGAACTTGTGTATTGTGGTAATGCCGGAAGCCGGTCCATCCTTGCTGTTTCAAGGGGCCTGGCATATATGGCATACTGTTCTTAATATATTTGCTCACCTTCTTGGCACTATGTGTTTTAACCAAGGTCACCTCTCCGAGAAAGGTTGTTTCCCCAGGTAGAGATTTTCCCCTGAAGTTAGGGAGGGAATAAAACCCCTTCACTAAGTGCCAGGCGGGTAATTAATCTCTTTAACTACGAACAATCATGCTTAAGCTACATAATCTTTACTCCCTGGAATGGAGATAAGAAACGCCCTATCCTTTGGAATAGAGATTGATAGGATTGGAATCAACTGGTATAAATACAGATGTCACAAGGCAACAGAGAGACAGAACTTAGAAGACAGAACCTACACAGAACCTAGAGACAGGAGAACTTCGCTGGAGAGAACATGGCAAAAGATCCTGGACAGAACCTGGCTACAGTACCTGGCTGGAGAACCTAGCAAGAGAACATGGACACAGAACTTGGCTGGAGATTGTGGCTAGAGTTCCTGGCAAGGCTGCTGCTCAACTGAACGCTGTCTCCGTGTCATTCCTTCTTCGCCGACTCCGTCCATACATTTGGGGACCCCTGGACCCGCTGGGGTCGGACCCCAGCATGGTAACTTAGATCTTGAGAGAACAAAAGTATGTGTGGATGTTAAGGTCATGGTTCAGCATTTATTATGCTTGTTTGTACTCTTGGGCAGGGGCATGTCAGCAGAGTTACTCCAAGAGCTGCAGTAAGTGGCCACCTGGACCCTTCGATCATATAGATATTTCCTGGGACCCATGTACAGGCCAGTATGCCAGGGTTGCCAATATAGGATCAAATCTAAATGATTAAACACAGAAGAATTAGCAAGCTTTTTACCCACTGGTGCCAGAAAATTTCATTTACCTGGTGATTAAGTATCATGAAATGTTAGCATCGCGTGTTTATGCTTGCACCGAGTCACTTCCTGATTTCTCCAGACCACCAGTTACAATGGCAAGTATGGTCAGTGACAGGAGGAGCATGAAAAATAGAGAACGTGGTCTCAGGTCTTCCGGTTCCAAGTCCCAATTCTCCACTAACAAGATCTGTGATCTGAGGCAAGTCACTCAACATCTGTGCGTGGACTTCTCTACCTATTAATGATGCTAGTAATTTTCATATTACTATTGCTGTCCTACCTCCTTTATGTGTAGTTATTAGAATCAAATCAGGTAAGATGGTAAAGGTCTTTATAAAATACGAGGCACTAAAACTATTATAACATGTAGCCCATTTAGCAGATGACCAGTCATTCTCATCTGTTTTTCTTTTGATGTGTTTCTCTGTACACTAAGTTGTATTAGTTTGAGTTCTGGCAGGAAGCAGATGAATGCTCACGGGGGTAGCTGAAGCATTCTGGGCTACCAGCAGTGAGGTGCAACTACCAGCTGTAGGTCTGAAGGGACAAATGGAGAGAAGTTCCTGGAACCCAGAGAGCTATGTTCCAACAGAAGCTGTTGGAATGCAGCCACAGCCGAGCAGGAGGGGAGCCAGGGACAACAGTCCCATCTCTCCTGCCCTTTGCTTTCCTACCGGTAGGTCCTCCTGGCTAAACCCCCTATGGCTAGGGAGCCAAGAGGTCAGCTTGGGGAACACAAGAGCAGGTGAAAAGGGCACACAGCTGGATCTGTGGGCAAACAAAAGCTCCCTAGCAAAGCCGTTAGGGCTGATCCCAATCTCTATCCCCTTTTCCTCACCCAAGATTTAAGTACCTGTTCGTGCAGCTGGTTTGTCCCTACAGTAGCCAAGCACCATGATCAAATCATTAATATCAGCGACCATACCAAGGTTCTTTCTGGTTTATTGTTTGGTAGAAAGACATGCTCTTTAACATTTGGTATAAACATCTCACAAACTGCTTCTCTTAGACAGTAAAAAAGTTAAAGCCTATTTTCTTTGAGGGGGGGCCCTTGAATTTGACATTCAAGTCCCCATGATAGAAAAAGGCGCTGCTGTGGCTAACACTGAAGGATGCCTCAACAAAAGGCACGTGAAGGCCTGCTTAAAACCTCTAGCGGTAGAGTCTAGCTCTAGCCTCTAAAACAGTGGTTCTCAACCTTGGCTGCACATTAGAATCACCTGGGAATCTTTTGAAAATCCTGATTTCTGGGCCTCATCCCCCGGAAATTGTTTCTTTGTTACTAATGTTGTGGCCCCACCCCATAACAAAGAAACAGAATTTCTGGAGAATGAGGCCCAGAAATCAGGATTTTAAAGATTCCCAGGTGATTCTAATGTGCAGCCAAGCTTGAGAACCACTGCTCTAAAACGATCCACCTTTCTGCCCAATGCCCGTGAATGATAAAGAAAAGGAGAATCCCAAACATTTGTTCCTGATGCTGAATGTGAGAAGGCCAAACTCCAGCCTCAAATCTTTCTCTAGAAACTCGAGGAAAAGGACTTCCCTCTTCCCCTTCTCTCCGGCTGGCGTTCTCAAGTACAGATGCATGTCTTTTTGGCACCCAGGCACTGACTAGCCTAGCAGTCTCATTAGGCTTCTTGAAAGGGCTTTTGGTGAAAGAAGCTTTATTTATTTATTTATTTTTTACAGAGAGGAAGGGAGAGAGATAGAGTTAGAAACATTGATGAGAGAGAAACATCGATCAGCTGCCTCCTGCACATCTCCTACTGGGGATGTGCCCGCAACCCAGGTACATGCCCTTGACCGGAATCGAACCTGGGACCCTTCAGTCCGCAAGCCGATGCTCTATCCACTGAGCCAAACCGGTTTCGGCATGAAAGAAAGAAGCTTTAATTTAGGTATTGCTAATCTTCAGCCCTTAGAAAAAGTAATTTTTGTTTTATAAAAGGGGGAAGGGACTATTCTAAGGAATTCAACAAAAGGAAATAGGTACCTTTTATGAAAAGGACTTTCAAGCTCTCTGAGCCCACAACTTAACTGACATACATCACTAAAGTGTCTCCACATAAAATAGCACCTTCATGTCCGCAGCAGCCTGATGGATGGGATCTGTGCACACAGAGCATCCACTTAAAATGCCTTCACTGGAAACAGCATATGGCAGAGGTAGGGCTACTCTTCACTCCATTCAGTCAAATCCACATGCCTGCAGGCTGCTCTCTGCAGAATTAGCTGTAAGGGTAGTAGTAAAGGTCCTGCTGGACGGCCATGAGCAGCCCCGGTGCTCCCTGCACACCCCCAAGCCGAGAAGAGAAGGCCACACTGGGAATGTTGGTCCTGGAGGTGGGATGTGGGGAGGGTATGGTTCTGAGCAGGTGGGTATCGCGGAGGCTCCAGATTCTCGTGTAGCAGTCCTGGCCCACTAGGAGAGGGGAGACAGACATGCGGCAGGTAAGCGAGAGTGCAGAGAGCTCGTGTACATGGCTTCTCATACTCCCTGGGAGCCAGAACACAAACCCTCAAATGGAAAATTTTTCTACTGATAATATGTAGTTTTTGAAAATCAAAGTTATGGGTCACCCTGGTGCTCTAGAACCATAACTAGTTGCATGTATTCAAAGTGACAAGCTGTACCGACCGGCTGTGTGACACCCTGGAGGACTTGCTGGTTGTCCGGCTAATGGGCGGGCACTGCACTGCTCTTGGTGTCAATGGCTGCTCAAGAGGGAGCCCAGCCCACCTGGTCTCGATGACATGCAACCACTTTCCTATTTATAAAACAGTAGCCAGGAAGAGCTAATGACTTCATTACACCTGGGGACAAAGTAGGTGCAGCTCTCCCCAGAGCTCTTTCTGGCTTCATGGCTTAGTTCTCAAGACCACCCGGCCGTCAGGGCTGTGATGAGGAATGCGACACTAGCACCACTGGTTCCGGTGGTCCAGGCAATGCGTCCTGGGCAGCTTCAGGGGAAGAGGGCAGGCACCCGAGGGACATACAGCCGGTTGCTCCTATAGCGCAGGTCACTGACCACTGCAACTGGCCCCCGACCCCCATCTGCCTATCAACAAGGTGTCTCTATTCTCTATTAGCCAGAACACTGAACTCTTCTGAGCTGAAAACCCGTGGAAAACAGACTAAAAGGAAGCTAACTGCTGGTGATGGTGACAGTAGTAAAGGAGCCTAAGAAAGTTCTAACCAAGGGATGCTGCTGAGCCACAACAAGGTTTCAGGGAGAAGTACTTTCTGTAGGAGTAGCAGCAAGCTTGAGGATCTAAGAAGGCTGAGAATATATTCCTTAATGTCAAGAGCCTACTATTTTATTTGTCCAACCACCAAACTTCCAGCTGCCAGAATATTCTACTCTCCACAAACAGTATACTCTTGTAACAGCTTTCGATGCGGCTTAGTGGCTAGCCGGCTCTGCTTCCTGTTCTACAGATCATGGACCCAAAGGGATGGTGTTACAGGAGCCAGGCATCAGTTTCTTTACAATGGCCTGAACTTCTTTTTCCAGCATCCTCTTTTGGAAACACACACAAGTTCAAAGAACAGGGAGCCCAAGCTTTTTGACAGGAAGTGCATAATGGGATAAGGTCACACTGAATGCTGACCTCGTGAACAGATGTAAACCCTACATCCAAGTCTCCCAACCTGATGTGCTACTGCGCCTGACCTGCCTGTTACTGAAATGATGTTTGTCCCCTGCTATGGGAACAAAGGGCCGTCCCATGTAGTCTTCCCAATCCCAAACAGACCAGGATCCCTATGTTCTGTTCTGTTTTAAAGTATCGTCTCCCTCAGCTGCTTCAGAGGCTGGGGGCCTAAGGGATGGAATTCGGTGGATGGAACCTCCCCCGCCCCAAGTACCGGCCACCAGGAGCCCTTCTTCTTCGTGCACGTGCAGGGGCAGGAGGGCGTACTCGTTCACGTGACCGTCGTACTGCCTTACGCACCTGGTGGTCCGCAGGTCCCACAGTTTGATCTGAGGGAAGGAGCACAGGGGCCATGAGGAGGGTCCAGCAGGTACACTGGTGAACCCCAGCAATGAGGGAGGGCAGGTGGTCCCCAAACACCTCTTCCGGTTAGAAAAATCTAAGCCTCAAACTCCTGAGACCTAGACCCCATCAAAAGCACCAGAACCAGTTCTACGTCTGACTAGACCAGACTGGGCTCCCAGCAAAGCAGCCGCCTGCACAGCCTACTGTACCTTTCCAGCCATGTCGGATGCCACCAGGCACTGCTCCTCCTGGAGGACTTTCACAGATGTCACCGCTGAGTCGTGGAACAGGCTAGTGGCCTTCCAGTTATTGCCTTGATTTCGACATCGAATGTCAATGGCAAAGATCTCCCCAGAGCGACAGCCATTAAACAGCAAAGGCGTCTGTGGAAAGAGGGACTGCTTGGTACCTCCCGCTAAGGCTGGGAGGAGTGCCCTCCCCCGTCCCAGCTCTCCTGGATCAGAGGTGTGGGTGGTCAGAGCTTGAGCCTCAGTGGAGCTGGGAGGGTTCCTAATGAAAGCAGAGAAGAACTGGGCCCCATGTGTCCCCCCAAGGTCGTCCCCACTGGCTGCACTGGCCCCTTAGGCCTCACTCTAAAGCCCAAGTGATGGCGCCCTGTCTCCACCAAGACCGTGTGAGAAGCTGGGGTGATGAGGATGGAGTAGGAGAGATCAGAGGCCCAGGTAAGACATGGGGTCCTAAATAGGGAGGGAAGATGGCTGAAGAAACCTGAATTAATGAACTCTGTGCTTACTGCTGGAAGCAGATTGGCATACTACCTCCTCTGTGGAACAAGTTTTTGAAATACAATAAGACTAGAATTTTGATTTTTAAATTTATAAAATGTGTAACTTGAAAGCTGTGTATGAAACTATTAAGGACTATGAACTGGGGCTTAATTTATATACTAAAAGAACTGCTTGTGCCCTAGCCAGTTTGGCTCAGTGGATAGAGCGTTGGCCTGTGGACTGAAGAGTCCCAGGTTCGGTTCCGGTCATGGGCACATGCCCAGGTTGCAGGCTTGGTCCCCAGTGTGGGGTGTGCATCAATAAAAATAAAAATTTAAAAAAGAAAAAGAACTGCTTGCCAGGCCAGTGTGGCTAAGTGGTTGAGTACTGACCCATGAACCAAGAGGTCCCCAGTTGATTCCCAGTCAGGGCACATGCCCGGGTTGCAAACTCAATCCCCATTAGAGGGTGTGCAGGAGGCAGCCTATTGATGTTTCTCTCTCATCAGTGTTTACATCTCTATCCCTCTCCCTTCCTCTCTAAAAAAAAATCAATAAAAACATATTAAAAACAAAAAACTGCTTGTCCTACTGGCTAATCCAAGTGCTACTTAAGAACTGCTAATAGTTCATTTAAACAGGAAGTTGTTTAAAGCCAGTTCAGCCAGGCCTTTCTGGAGCAGTCAACTTTCATTCAGTAAAGACAAATTTAGAAACCTTTAATCCTTTCTCATGCCATTTTCCTCTGTAACGGGGGGGGGGGGGGGGGG